TCGGGTCATATTTTTGAGCTTCTTTATAGCAATCATCCGCCTTAACCACTTCTCCTAAACTTTTGTAGACGTCACCATATTCTATATAGGCTTCGGCTAAGTGCCTTTTTACTTCACGAATTATGGAGAATCTGTGAGCCTTAAATTCATCAATTGCATTTTGATAGGCATCTATCGCTTCGTTTAGATGACCATCAGATTTTTGTTTTCTAGCATTTGCTAAGTGGGCTTTACCCTTTTTGTAATGATTGACGAACATATTTATTTTAAATTTATGAGGAAAAGGTTAACCTCAATAACTGAGTCGATACGCATTCTTCTATGATTATATATACCTATATTTGCATAAAAAGATATTACAGAAACAATATGTGTCACCAATAAATTGGTGCACTTACATCGCATTTTAATTAGGGAAAACTTTAATAATGGATCGATATAAATGTTCGTGTATAATGAATGATCCAAATAAATGAATCAAATGTGCATATGGGCTGAAATGGCTGACAATAAGATTTTCTAACATAAGTGACACATGTTCACTTTTTGAATTTTAAGAAAAGGAAAACTTAAATAACTGTCCGTAACTCCAAAGGATGTGTGACGTTAGAATCGATATAAATGTACATGCATAATGATCTACGTATATGAATAGCCAAGAAAGTCATCTAAACTTTTCTGCTATAACATAAGTGACACATCGCACCTTTCTACTTTTTTAGACAAACTGTATATTTAAAAAACTTTTTTATACATTTCTATTCTTTATATCTCCAAATATGCACATGTTATTTTTATTTTAATTAATTATTTGCAATTATTTTTATATTTTAATAGTAACTCAATTAATTGTACAAGGATTATTAGCAATACAAATTATTTTCGAAGGCGGACCGGAAATTTTCTGATACTACAATTGTTAAGTAGGATCCGATATATATATTATTTATTTAAAATGTATAATTAAAGTAGCAAAATTTTGGTCGTGAAAACCGCATACTGTGCTTCGCACTATTTTATTCATTGTTATAATTGATGTTATAATTACTTGTGTTGATTGAATAAAGCAATTAAAAATCTATATCGAAAATTGATTTTATACAGAAAAACATATTATAAATGTAATTAAGATATTATACTAATTTCTTCTGGGGAACCTTTATTGGTGTATGAAAAGATGATCGCGTCATTTCATTAATTGAAGTCACGTTGCCTTGAATTGTTTCACGTTTAGATAAGTGAATATCTTTTTTGCAAATTTCGGTGGAACGGGTCATTATAGTCTTTTGTAGAGAAAAGATAAAAGTTAGATTGTAAATAAATCCAATAATATTATACATTATATACTAACTTTGATTTACATAAGGCGTTCTATTGAAGTGGGAAGTACGCCAAAATCAGAACTATCTCGAGGGAGATAAAATTTCCCCAAAAGAATCATCCGATATATGGCTTCATATTTTAAATCCATAACAAATAAACGACATTGAAAACCTAGTCGCAGGAATGCAGGAAAAGGCAAATTAGATTACAGACGTTAATGTAATTTTAAGAAATGCCAATAACTTACCTTCCACCAATAAACCACAAATTATTAAATCATTACTTTTTATTCCATCATAAATACATTTGTCAATTATATCCTTCATTTCGTTGCCTAATTTTACAATATCCCAGTCTTCCAAAGCGATTTTATTTCCATTTGATAAAATGAAATCGGCAGACTTTATTTCCGAAGCCAACAAATAGAATTTATTACCTCTAATAGGCAAATATACTGAAAAATCAGCTTTTCGTCCCTGTAATATAGGGTCAAATTTACGTTTCCGATGTACAGACGCTTCCAAGACGTCGGTTGACCTGAAAATAATCCGATAACATTTTAATAAACCATTATAATAACAATATAAGACAAGAAAAAAAATAGTGTCAAAAAGTTACCATTCACATTTAAAATTAATGTTGCGGATAAATGGCCTGATCACAGGTTCAAAAACTTCATGCACAAAGGAATCTTCTTTTAAACCTTGCCTGTACACTTCCGGTTTAAAATTATTTATTCTATAATATAGAAATTATATTATGTTAAATAAGTAGCGATAAACAATTATTAAGCCTTACAGATACTCACATTGACTCGAACGTTTCTAGAATTAAATCTTCTTGATTATTGTCAAGATCCTTTTGCCATTTTCTCAATAATGGCCTGCATTTTCTAAAATCTTCACTTGCGATCTATTTAATAAATACGTTATTATGAATAATCCCCATATTAAAAGCATATAAGAAAAGTCATACCTGTGCCATTTTATGACACCGTAAAACATCATCATTCGATAAATGATATGGAGCAAATTCATTTTTGATAGT